CTAGTGGGAGGCGCAAGCAGGTCCACAAATCGGGACCTGCTCGCAGGTCTCACCTCTTGGTTTGCTGACTGTGACACAGCACACAGCGGTGAAGGCAACGTTGACGCCCATGACTCTAACCTTCGGACTGGACACCAGGCTGCTATTTAACAGGCCGAAATCCAAACACTGCACTGACTGCGTGACTGTGCTGTGGGACGCAGGTTAAGGCACTAAGCCAAGTGTTTTAACATCTGATGGCAAATGCCATCTGAGGCAGGACCCACCCGTCCTCCCGCAGCACTCACCGAGGCCCTGCATGGCCTGCACCCGACTACGCTGCACGGCACAAGGGCATCGGCTGGACAGGCAGCTCCGTGAAGAGAGCACGCCCCCGTGGCCCACGTGAGGCCCGAGCCTCGGCAGCACAGTAGGGCGGGCACAAGGGCCGCTGGAGGCGGACGCACGGCGGTAACGGCGCCAGCGGAAGCCGCCACGCCGCCTCGTGCTTCCTAGGGATCTCCCGCCCGGCATGACTGTCATTACTGCCACGTGGACACTCCGTGCTGTGTATCGAGCTCTACTCTAGGTACTTGGGGTGCAGGTGAAAAAAAGACAAAAACCCGTGCCTCATGGGGCTCACACTCTAGTAAGAGCAAGGGAGGGAGAAGGACGTGACAGACAAAATGTTTGTAAATGACGTCGACTGCTTGTGTCATAGGAGCAGCAGGCAGAGGGGACAGAGCCAGGCCAGCAGGGAGAGCTGGGTACGACTTTAAACATGCGGGCCCCCTTCAGAAGCCAGCAGGGAGAGCTGGGTACGACTTTAAACATGATGGCCAGGGTGGGCCCCCTTCAGAAGGAGCGGTGAGCAGAACCTGGCAGGCAGGGAGGGCGCCATTGCCTCCTGCCTGCGTCTTACACCAGGCTCCTCCTGCTGCTCCCTGTCCTCTGGGAATGTGGCAGAGGCTCGGGGCCAGGGCTGTGGTGGCATAGGCCTGTCAGCTTTCCTAACGGCAGGCTCCGAGGCCAGCACCCTGCATCTTGCAGACCGCGGGACTTTCCTTCTGGAGCCTCTGCTGAGAGGGCTGCGCCCCCTCCCGAGGACCAGAGAGTCCACACTGGTCCTGGTCTTTGTGCCTTGGGCCAGTTGGCAGCAGGGAGCAGAGAGCTGGCCGTGTCCTTGTTCAAAAAGACCTGCCCATTTGAGCAGCAGGGTTCACTCACACCTGCCGGGTGCCCTGCTCTGTACCTGCCGTCTGGGGGACCCTGCCACCCACTGAGGGTGGCGAATCATGACCACCACGCTGACTTTCTAGAAGAGAAAACCCGAGGTCATGAGGCTGTGGTCTGGAAAGCAGGCTGCCTGGGTCAAGGGGGCACACCTCAGCCATGAGGCCACACCGCCTACTTTACCTTTAAGCAGGGCTCGGACGTCCCGCTGGAGTGGATCCCGAGGGGTCCTCCTTGGGAACACAGACTCGAGGTGTGACCCATGGGGCAGGCTGGGCACCGCCGCCTGGCTGGGCATACTGCTCGGCGGACCTTTCCTGCTTGCGTCCACAGAGATCTCCTTGCCATGTCCACTCTGCTCCCGAGAGCCACCCACACAAGCTGGCTTCCTCCTTGAGGGCCTGGCCCAAACATGAAGGCAGGCAGGCCTCCGACCCCCGGCCCCGTTCTGCTCTCCACGGCTCTGACCTCCCCAGCTCGTCCCTCCGATCGCTTCTCCCCCTCGCGTGGTTCCCCTTCCTGCGGACCCGAGAGGCCCAGGTGCCCTGCCTGAGCTCTTTCTGACCTGAGGATGACGACGCTGCTGTGACATTTACCATCCTGAATCTCACCCATGGCCTGGCCACTGCCACCACACCACATGGCGAGCAGTGCCTTTGAGGAAGTGTCACCTCTGCCTGGGTTCTAGTCTCCCAAAGTGGCAAACCAAATACCAAAGCTGTTGGACTCTTGTCCTCCTGACTGGCGAGGACACTGGGGTTCTACTCAGGGACGGTCACTCTGGACTCACTTGTACACTGTTAGGAAGTGTCCGTCCCTTCCCACTGCTCCCTTCAAGAGCAACCACTTCCCCCCATAAAGACCTCATGGCAAATACACAAAACAAGCCCAAAAAGGGAAGTTCTAGGCCCTTCTATCCCAGCCCTCCTCACTCCTGACCACGTTTCCGACAGCCTTCTTGCCTGGACCTCCCTCACAGACCCACCTCGTCCCTGTGGCTCCCTGGTGTTGCTCACAGCAGCGGCAGCCGCTCGAGGAGCCCAAGGTCACCGCTCATCACTCACTGAGCGGGACTGCCGGGACAGGGCATCCCGGGGACGGTTTCCATAGCAACAGGAAGGTGTGCATAATGCACATGGGAGATTTTCCTCCTAAACAGCATCATTCTCTAGGCTTCTGGGGAAACCTATGCTGGGAGACGATCTCAGCCGTGCATCTTTCTAAAGGTCAGTCACGCGCCTTCCGCTCTCCACAGGGTCTTCGCGTTCAGAAACGAAGGACCACCTCAGAGCCGGGCTCACCGTCTTGGTTCCTCAGACTCACCTGACGTGACGAGGGACGTCAGCAGAACGGGAAGACCACCCTTAGCTTCTGGGGCAGGACAACGTTCTGCTGGGCGGGTAAATAAATGCAGCGGCACCGGCCTGCGGCTGCCTCTCCCCGCCTCAGCAGGATTCCAGGGGAGTGGGTGAGGACAAAATGTGGCCTTGTCGTCACTTCTCGAGAGATTTTTCAAGTTCTCTAGAATATTCCTTTTCAAAATTTGTTGTATGCAGAAAAAAAAACACCACACCCTGAGAACGCAGCACCTAACGGAGGGACATGGGCCCCTCGGTAATGGGTGAGATTTCACGGTTTAGCCTCGGTAAGGCAGCGCCACCTATGCTGCCACTTGAAGTCAAAGCAACGCCAATCAGTAACAGAGCCTCTAAATACGACCGACCCAGACTGCTTCTGCCGGTAAATATTGGTCTTATCGACACACGTCCACGTCTCACCGGGCCAGCAATGTGTTAAAATGCAAATGCCACCCTCCACCCACAGCACTCGCTCGAGGCCTTGCGTGGGTCCGCACCCGACTGAGCCGATGGCAGGACATGGGCATCGGCTGGACAGGCAGCAGCTCCGTGAAGAGAGGCCTCCCTCTGCGGGCCCCTGATGCTCTTGACAAATAAGCAGCTGAAAATACCATAAACATTTTTGTCTGCATAAAGAGTGGCCGTTTCACCAGCACACATGCAAAACTAATTTTTCTTAAAGGGATTTAACTTCCAATATACAATTTAAACAAGGCAAACACTCTGAAAAGTGTCCTGGGTTTAAAGACAAGAAGGAACTAGGCTGCAGCCACATCTGCTTGGCGGCACTATGTGTCACCTCCGCCAACTTCTGCAGGGCAACCTGCGGAGGAACCCAAGCGCAGCGAGCTCTACTCCAGAGCGTGTGCTGAAGGGACTGGACTGGGTCTGGGGAGGTAAAGTGCCTGCAGCGCGAGGAAGGGGAGGGATCGACGAATCGATTGATGACCGACCGACCGACCGACCGACGGACCGACGGACCTATCCATCAAATACGGAGAGTCTGAAAGTTCCAGTCAGGTGAAAATCATGTGCTGTAATGTTAGGTCACAGGGCCTAACTCACCTGCTATCGCTCCCGGGCCCGGCTCGGCTCCCAGGCCTCCCCTCCCCGGCCTCTCCTCCCTGGCCTCTCCAGGCGGTGTCCGCCCCAGGCTCAGTGTGGGCGCTCCCCTCTCCTCCGGGGAACTGTCTCCCAGCTTTAACCAGGAACCAGCTGCCCGCAGGGGCTCCCCAGGTCCACCTGCTGTGCACACCTGCCCTCCAACCGGTCTACACCAACCTGCCCATCCTTTCCGCCTCTCAGGCCCAAAATCAGAGTCGCCCTGGCCTCTTCTCACTGCCCATACCCACCTGAGAGCAAATGCAGGTGACTCTTACTTCAGAACATAGCCAGGACCCCACCGCCGTCGCACCGTGCCCGCATCGCGTGCCCGATTACTGCCGGCGACCTCCGAACCGTCCTGGCTCCCCCGGCTCCCTGGATGAACTCGCAGCACAGCTGCCAGGGCCGTCCTCTGAGAGCCCGAGGCCATGCCACTTTCCGGTCTGAGACCCCAGCAGCTCTCACCTCAGAGGAAGACGCGAGTGTGCAGCGGCACTCAAGGCCTGGTTGGCACCTGACCGCACCTCCCACCCGCTCTGCGGGTGACCCCTGCCGGCCACGCTCTGCTCCGGCAGCCCGCCACCCCACTGCCCACTGAACACGGCACTTGCCGGGGCCCCAGAACCTCTGGGATGCCTTGCCCCACGCTGCGGAGCTTTCTGTGGCATTTACCACTCTGTAACATACTAGGCGCCTGACTTACCACTGCTGGCACCGCTGTCCTATTAGAACACATGCTAAGTGACTCCAGTCTTTGTTCTGCCCACAGATGTGCCCATGGCAGACGCAAGTATTTGTGACTGAGCGACTGTCCTGACTTTCTTGCTTTGACCAACAAACCCAGAACCCAGACAGCACAGCAGTCGATGTGGTGATTTCCCTGTGCGAGTGAGGTGGCAACCTGGCCGACGAGTCCACTCTCCCCAGCCAGCCAGCCACGTGGCGCTGGGAAAAAGCCATAGGTCGGATCCAGGGACTGAATTCGGGTCGTGAAAGCGCGAAATTACATACTTCACGGAGCACAAACCCAGAACCGTCAAGACCTGTGTTTCTCCGCACGGGGCGCCGTGCCACTCCCGAGTCCCTTCCTTCTCTGGTCTCTCTGGTCACTCTGGTCACCAGGAGGGCTGTCTTCTCCTTTTGTTGCCTTTGGGGAACAAAGATGCTAGTAATCACAAAATGTCAGGATCCAGGCTGCGGACAAGTGGCCCCGGCCTTCACACGCTTTCCAACGGGTTTCGTTCAGCTTGGTGAAGGCAAAAACACATACTTTTAGTCACTGCCTTAATCTGAGTCTTAAATACAGTACTAGGAGACAATGCGAGATTTTACTGAGAAAAAGTGAATTTTTAATTATCTCGTGAATCTACTTAGAAAAACACACACAAGCAATGTTCACAACTATAAATTTCAACCTTTTGCACTAAAAAACACAAAACAACAAACACGAAACCACAGGCATGAACTGTAAACCTGTAATTGTTATCGACTAGTCTTAAGGTTAATTCTTAGTAGTAATTCGGCATTTTCCTGCTTGGCAATTCTAGCGTTTTAGCACCAAATGGTCTCCCGCAGAGGTACTCGTAACAACTCTGGCTGCCCGGGCAAGGAGATGCTCGCGTGTGCAGCGCTCACACCCACGCGGACGGGAGGCACACAGAGATGGCTGGATGGCACACGCTGACTCTCAGGGCGATGGAAATAAGACAGAGGGCACACGGGTCACACGTCTTTAATGTAGTGCATTCGTAGAAAAAAGGCCAGCTTTCGCTCCCAGGCGTGCTCTCGTCCTTATAGTTTAATATCATGATTTAGAAGATGCAGACGTTATTGCCTAAATATTATTCTATACATTCCCATCAGTGTTCAGGAAAACTGCTACTTAATTTACACCTTAATTACTGGTTACAGCTTTAGCTCGTTGGCAATTTTGGAAGCAATATTTTTGAAAGCTATGGATGTCCCCGATATCCGCTTAAACCGGACCCCGTTCAGAGACAGTCTAGGCAGCTTGCACACCTCCATCTCCCACTGCACGAGGTTCTCTGCGCGCCCGTCGCCGTGGACGCAGAAGAGCAGGAAGCGCTCTCTCTGCTCATAGTCGCAGTTGTTGGCGTCCAGCACTTTGCGGATTTCCCGCATCATGTCACCGGGGTCCATGGCACTGGTGGTCTTCATGCTCCAGGTAAAGCGCAGGGAACGGGGCTTGGCCTCTTTGTTTTCATCCTTTTGCTCGGCGGACACGTTGCGACTGAAACGCACAGTGGCAAGTTTATTTTTAACGGCACGAGAAAGCCCGTCTGTCCTACTCTAGCCGAGCTCACGGCCGACTCCCAACACAGCTGAGAACCGACCTCCACGTCTTTCCTGCGTGGTTCCCATGTGATTATCTTCCCTTTCGAAGAAGTGTTCACCTATTTAGTCCTCCACTGTCTCTCTCAAATCATAAACCACACATGCAGAAAATCTACCTGGCTGTAAAATCCCACCAGCCATGTACTTACTAAATTAAGAATAAGGATTGCTAAACACTACCCTTGGAAACTGGGCAAAGTAGAGAGAGGGCCACGCACCTCCCAGTGCCCAGTGCAGGTGGCCAGGCGCCATCAGGCCCTCTCTACTCAACTCCTCGCAACCTCTGGGTGCCTTAACTGGGACAGACTCAACATGGCTGAAAAGCGCTTCCCTTGTGACCCGCCCGGGGGGCTGAGTGCACAGCTGGGGGTGGAGGGGAGACAAGCTTTCAGTAGTGCCCCTTCCCCATTTTTCCTTCTGTCAATTTAAACTTCTAGTCTAAGCTAAAAAGAATTCTTAAATGACGTTATCTTGCAATGAAAGAAAAATAAAATGCTAAAGCTTATTTGCTGCTGAGTACCCAAATGACTCTCCTGGACATAAACTGTACAGATTCACAAAGCGTTAAGCTGTGGTCCCCACACCCACGAGGTGGTGTCACAGTGGCCCCAGGCATGGATCTCTGGGAACTCAGAATAGGCATCTACTTACTGTTCCCAGACACTTAATCATCGGTGCCACAAACCGTTATTTACATTCTCCTTTACCTGGAGGCTTTAATTAGGACGGTGGATACCTAACACTCTTGTGCATTAAAAAGGCCCTGTATAGAGCCCGAAATACACTTATCCTGTGGCAAATTCATCAGAGCTGAGGGGGGGTGTGGCTTTTACTAAGCACACAGCTCTCCCTGTCACCAACCCACTATGCGACTGGGTTCACACCCACCAAAACTGACTAGAAGCTTCCTATGTAGGAAATGCTGTTACAGACTAAAATAGCTAGAAACATGGGCAAAAGCTCTCACCCTAGTTGGGGTTAGAGGAGGGACGACTGCCGCACGGGAACAGCAGTGACGAGACAGGCCCGGACAGTCTGCCAGACGGTCACGGGACCAGAGGGTCACAGGGGAGAGGTGGAGCCCACCTTGGGAGGCGTGCGAGGGAAAGGCGGGGCGGGATGAGGAGGAAGCAGTTTCCAGGTGGGGGTGGCATCTGGAGAGCACGGGGGTTCGGGTTCCAACACCGTGGAGGTGGGGGGAGTGCCCAGGCCCACCAGGCAGAGCATCAGCAAAGGCCAGGACGTGATTGGGGCCGATGTGAGCACGTACGAACGGGCTGGGACTGGAGGCACAGCGACACCCACACAACAGCCACTGGCGCTCCTGAGCGCTCTGTGGACAGGCTCAGTGTTCCCTGTCCCCACCACACCGGAGGCTGTTCCTCTTACAGATGGACGCAAGCTCAGGCTAGAGTCTCTTGAGGCTGGAACGTGCAGGCCCCAGGGGGACTGCGGCTGCGGAGGTCACACAGGGCCTCACAGGGACACGGTCGGTCAGGCAATGGAGCCACTGCAGGTTTGCTTTCGGAAAAGTCATTGGCTCAGAGCCAACGGGTTAACAAGGACCTGGATAAAAAAGGGCATGAGGGACAGGCGTCTCCAACTACGAAAAGCGCTGAGCCTCTGTGGTGACACCCCACGCCCTCCAATCCGGGCAATGAGAGCTACACGAAATTTAAAAGCAACTACATAATCTTTTTTAAAAAATCTAATTCGATGTGAAAATTCTACTCACTACTTTTTCATTCCTTGAGACTAGAACTATGCCGAGAGCCACCAAGGCGCCCAGAGCGCTCCTACCAACCCCCAGACCTCACTGCAGGTGGTTAGGGCCCAGGTGGGAGGGCCGGGATTGTACCGCCCACACCCAAGGTTAAGAGTGGGGACGGGGAGCAGACGGCTTTCACCAGCCGGCTGCGCGGCGCCCTCATGTGGCCACCAGGGCGCAGCGCAGCCCACCGGCCCAGGGTGAGGGCAGCAGTGCTCACAGCTTCCCAGCCCGCTGCGGCCTCACCAGGTAAACCTGAGAGCAGAGCGTCGCCCCGCCGCAGAAATGAGGTAAATACCTAGAAAATGTATTAAAAAATAATTTCCCTCACCTTGAGCCCTCATATCTCCCGTTCCTCTCATATTCAGTTGGAAGCCTCAACGAACAGAAGGCAGAAGCACAGACAAGTGGGAGAGAGAAGAGAGATCTTACACACCAGTACACGGCCCCGCACAGAAACACAAACGTCATAAAACCAACAGCCCAAAGCACTTTTGGGTTATCGGTGCAGCTCAGGATAACTCTCAGACTCTCAGCTGTGACCTGGCCAGTGACTGCTGTCCCCCGTGTGTCCACGAGGCCTGCCTGGCACACCACGGCCTTCGCGGCGGCTGTTCAGACCCTCTTTAGTCGCTGGACCCCAATTAAAGGGAAATGGATTTATCAGTTGAATTTGACACGCAATTACAAAATTTTCTGTCCAAGGAAAAACCTGGCCACTGGGAACATCCATTAAAGAACAATCACGGATGGAACTTCCCTCAGGAAGAAAGCGGTCTCCCAGTTTCTGACGGAGAACTCATGTTAACAAAGCGTCAGTGACCCCACTGGTTTCATCAGCCTGGCCTTCGAGTGAGCTGAGAGGCACAGGCAGTGTGGCCTCTGGCGTTTTCTGCTTCATTTGTGTGCGTTCCAAGGTAGTGGGCAACATTTTTGTCTCTTGATATCATCAAAAATGGTCACCTGGTAGGAATAGCATTTACTACACGCTTTAGGTAGAAACAATGAGACATGCTTTCTTCAGTAGTTGGTGGACAGTGGCTTTTAGATCAAATACTATTTACTCTTCAACTCCGAAAATATTAAAACATTTCTGCTATGCAGCTGCCCACATCTTACTTTCTCAAAAACATAAACCAAATGAGGCTGTAAAGTTTGGTTTTATGCTTATTTCCAGTATCGGAATATGAGCTCCTTTCTCTGTCTTTTTTAAAGCCTTCTGCTAATTCAACCCTCAGTGAAATAAAAAAATGATGATTGACACCATTACCACTTACCTTTTGCATGCTTGAAGCTAACCATTAAAAGTACATTAATGTTACTGCACATCTCGTTCCTCAAACAGAAGCATGCTAAGTGTTATTAGTATGAAGACAGAATTATTTGGATGCTAATAATTCTACCAAAGAAAGAAAATGCACAGAGCATGCTCAGGCCTCTTGTTACATGGGTGCCACAGTCCCCTCAAAAATGCCTGACGAGAGTTAATCTATTTCTTTCCACAGTTTCCTTTCAAAGAAATAAGTATTTAGTCTCAGCAGAAGGTTTAGTTTTAAGGGAAAAAATAAAAATAAAAAAGGCTAGAAAGCCAAACCTGATGTTAATTGCAGGAGCCATTTTGGGATGAAGATTGAAAAAAAATGTGTATATATAAATCCTACCTTTTGATAAACCTGAATGACATGTTTCTAAAAGAAATTAAGCCAAAAAAAAAGAAATTAACAAAAATGACGCACAAATGAAATAGAAAGTCTAGTCAATTATAGAAAGAAAACAAACAAAACGGTTCTTCTTCTGTCCAACAATGAAACAGTGACATTTGTTGAAAAAGTAAATTACAGATAATTGCGTATGTGATCTTTTAATTAGAAATATTAAAAAATCTGTACTTGTGAGCAGAGATTTAGCAGTAAACATCGACATTAGCTATAACAGAATTTGCTTAAGGCTCTTCAGATGGACAGTCTTTAAGATAGTAAAAGTCAACATCTTGTGTTAAAGAAACGACAAGTCACTTGCAATGAACTAGTAATAAGATAACATTTTTCAGTTTTCTTCAGACTATCTTATGAATAAAAATCTTACCTTCTTATAAAGAAACACTAAAAATTTCATTATAAAATGTTTAACCATTAAGAGAATCATTACTTCAGGAAGATGATTTGAACACTAATAGATTGTTACAGTGGTATGACATAAATCACTTTTAAAAAAATTAGTTATTGGGGTCTAAAATGAAGTAGACTTTTTAGTTTTAGATATTAGAATAAATGAAAATTAGATGGCAAGATAACAGTGGGGGTTTCAATTTTACGTTTTATGTAATAAACTGAAGGAGATATATTTAAAAGAAGTGACTCAGCTTGTTAAAAACAATTAAGAAGATGCTTAGGTTGAACTGAACGGAACGTGACAAAAGAAATTTCGAACTATGCACCAAGCGGGAACGATCAAGTCATCAGAGAGCTTTTCTGGGCAGGCATGGGCTGGGTCTGTCAAACTATTCCTAAAACCCAGTTCTGTGGACACAAGAGGCACGTATATGTATGTGCCGACTGACTAAATTAATGAATCCTTAGATTTTTTTCTAATTTGGGATAACTTTGGCATTGCTTCAGATACTGACCATTTTAAAAGTTTCTAACTACTGTGGGTAACCGCCAGCCACTTTGTTATCGATCAAAAGTGGTACACAGCAAGGTTATACACAGTAGAGAAGAACATCCATTGAAAGTATTTTGTAAATAATTTAGCACCACATAAATATAAGGCAGTATTATCCAAAATATTATTTTACCTAAAAAAATGATTAAAAGGTCTTTAAAATATATTTTCATTTCCAAATTTTCCACCTGAGAAGTGTCAGGGTTACTGGTCGAATACCACAGGGCTGCTTTTCTTAGAGGTTTCCCCCCACAAATCCCCTGATACACAAAGAGCGGGAAGCTGCAAGACTGAGGTCTTCGCCTCGCTCCTTCTGACGAAAGGGGCTCCGAGGTCACAGAGCCCACAGCTCTCCCACACCACCCAGTCCCCAGGGCAGGGCCGGGAGCGAGGGCAGGCTCTCTGGTGCCAGCTCTCTTCTCACCGAGTCACGGCAGGTCTCCTCTGAAAATCCTAGGTGCGAACACCCGAGCCTTTCAAGGCCCAGCAGGGTAATTCTAGCAATTACTGTCCGGAGAGAATAAGAAGCTGACACCAACGACAGCAGTAAGGACTGTGACTGTTCTTAAGCATGAACTGACAGCACCTGAAGGGACAGCGGCAGGAAGGACCATGGACCTTCAGCTTGCAAACTTGAACAAAGAGAAAACTGCCTTTCTGAAAAATCTGGGGGTGGAAATTGCCTGGAAAATGTAAGATAAGATGACCCCCTAGAATTCTTTTTAACAAGAAACCTCGGTCTCCAACTTCAATTCAAATACATGAAATAAATTTAACAAGCGAATGGGGGCAAGGGCTCTGCCTGCGACGGGCCTTCACGGTGTTCTGTGCGGGCGCGATGCAGCGGCCTCGGGGCCTTCTCTGGAGTCACAACATGTACCTCCATCTCCCCGAGCCTGATCTCCAGTTTCTTCATTGAAACTGGGACAGTATCTCCCCACAGGGCAGACTGCAGAGATTACGTGGGCGTCAAGGGGACAACGTGTGGTGTGTGCACACACGTTTCTATGTGTAAACCGAGTCTATAATTCTTGGCACATAACAAGCATTCGATAAATGGTAGCTGACATTTTTATCAATGATAGTATTAAGATGGCCAAAAAAAGAGCAAAAAGAAGACAAATAAATTTAAGGATTTTAATGATGAGCCCATTTGAGACCAAAGTGCGAGGACACAAAGCTGACTGTGCTGTAACCAGTGCTTAGCTAGACCTGAGGGCTGCATGTCCCCTCTGTGCTCGGGGCTCAAAGGGCAACACACTAGTTGCTATTCAGCAGGGTTGGGGGGGCAAACAGCCAGGTGAATGATACCTGGGATACCTGGCTCCATCTTCTACCACCCAAGTTTCAGAGGCAGATTCCATTTCAGTCTAGTCCCTGAGGAAGGAAGGAGCTGGGGGATGGGGAGGCCTGGGATAGGCCATGGGATGACCTTGGAAGGAAGGAGTGGATTATTCTAGGGGTCACCAGACTCTTCCTGGACTGAACCCCCAGCCTGGGTAGGCCCATTCTGCTCTCCTGTCCAGCCTGGAATGAGATGTTTCAGCAAAGGAGCCGAGAAGAAGACAGGGCGGCCTGGAACATTCTGGCTGCTCTGCCCTCGAGTCAGAGCTCACAGATGTCAGATGTCCTCCCTAACCTGGCATTCAACGTCCCGACAACAACAACGAACGGGTTATCTGGCGAAAGGCAGTTTAATGTGACTCGTCTAAGTTTTACGTGACCAACCTCAAGTAAAGTTGCTGGGAAGTGGTACTTAGCTCACAGGTCAAGCAACGCAGATGGCATGAAACAGGGCGAGGGCTCATGGGTCAGGGGGCACCGAGAAACAGAGGATGCCACCGGCCGCTGCAGACTCTGAGGCGCGCCATCGCTGCGTGCAAATGGGACACAGGCGATAAACACGAGGGTCTGCAGCAGGCAAACGTGCAGGACGCCAGGGACACATTAAGCCTTGGTGAGCCGTCACTGCAGAGGGTTCCTCTGAGGCCCCAGGCGCTCAGGCTTCCCAGGTGTGGTCCTGGCCAAAGGTGTCTCCGACCCCCCGCTTACAGGGCAAAGGGGCTCCCTTTCCTTTTTCTTCTTGTAGCAGCCAATGTTGCTTTCAACACCTCCGGCCAGATTATGGGAGCGAAGTTAAAGCACCTCAAGGGCCCACAGAGAGTCCAGCGTTCCCGAGGCCCCAGTGACAGCCTACGGGACGCAGGAGAAGCTTTATACATGACTGGGTTCTAGTGTCTTTCTGAGAATACACCAGGGCTTTTATCGCCACACTACATTCAAGAAAGTTACCTGCTTCTCGCTATAACTCACGGGGACCGACAGAGAGTGAGTCCAAGACTCAGACCGCCGGACGCTTAGTGTCCCTCCAGGCGGTGAAACGCAGCGAGAGGGAAAGTGCCTCTCCTCCGCACGCAGGGACCGCCCCGTCCGCTGTCCCCTCAGTGTCTGCTTATGGAGCACCAGCCCTGCCCACGGACCCAGGTTCTGCTCAACCGCAACACATCTACGCGGCAGATGGGCGACCCACAGAACAGTAATTCAAGAACCACCAGAACCTCCCAAGTGCTGAAGAACTTTCGCTGTTGTGAAGACTCTGAACTCTGTCGTTTCTCTCCTAAAGGTTTTAAAGTACAAAGTTAGATGTAGAAAAACATGAGCTAAAGACAAAATAAAGAGCAGCCGGGTGCTGGCGTCACAGAGAGGACATCTCCTTTCGCTCCCAACAACCAGCACCATCTGGCACTTACCTCCTCGTGAGTTTTGAGGTTAATTTGCTGAAAAGATTAGTGGAGCCTCGGCTTCGAGTCTGCGACAACGGCGTGGCTTCGTGGGACAGGCTGGGCGAGGCAGGCGGGCCGTTGTACGTGGCAGTCCGCCGCTCCCGGGGCTGGCCGTGGAAAGTGCTACGACTGGCAGTGCCCCTTGGGAAGCGGATTCGGTCCGGGGTGGTCGCGCTGCTAATACTGTGTGTGGAAGCAACTGGAGTTCTCTGGTCGGGCACAGAGCTGCGAGAGCGGAAACACAGATTCTTACGTCTTCACTCACAACGTCCTGGCTTTGCGGCAAACGCGGCACATGGAACTTTACAGTCACGGTATCCCTTGGACATACGGTGGGGCAATTCCGCTTTCATAATCTAGGTCGAAGGGGCGTTTCACAGCACTTGGGAGGAAAAGGTGAGCTAAGCGGGAAAGGGGATCGGCCGGTACAGTACAGACATATTTTCAAGGACAAGATTAACGCAGGGAAATTCTAGGAGAAAGAATGGCTGACTCAGCTTTTCCTTCACTTCCCTCTCAAACCGCTTATGTGCAGAGAACCCGCCAACGTAAACGAAACAAAGGCCACGCGAGTGAAGCTGAAGAACAGGCAACTGACGCGTGTCGGAAGCACACGGATGGCAGGAACACTGTAAGCAACCGGGGGCGGGGGGGGGGCGCTCTTATCTGTCTGTAGTATGCAAAGGCGAGAAGACACACACGACAACAAGGACACCACGAGACGGGCTGTGGGTCAGTAGAACCACACACAGAAAGGATGCTTTTGGGACAACTGTAACAAAATCTTGGACTGTGAAATCCACAGCATGAAGTTAAGCAGCGGCGGGCGCATGTCAGTTTCACAGGCCCGTGCGTTTTTCTCAGCAGCCGTGGAGTTATCTCCCGCGCTGCCTACGGGGGGCGGCAGCATCCTGGGGTGCCCGGAGGCTGACGTGAACATCGACTCCCAGCTGACGGCTGGGAGGTATGGCACAAATGGAGGCAGGCCTAGCTGCGTAAGCGAACGTTCTCGTCAGGCAGAGGCAGAAACAACAGGACAGTGGACGAGTGTCAAAAAGAGCGACCTGCTGCTTAACACGCGTACCGTCCTCCCCAAAGCGTCTCGTTTCCGTCAAACGACAAAACCTTTTCGACTCTGGAGCAACTGCTAACCTGTAGCTCCTTTTTGTCAAATAGTAGTTTTTAAAGTTCATTAACTTTAAAGAAAAAAGAAACATCTCACATGTTTGAATATTCGTGTGAGAAGAACAGTGTCCTCTGAGTATATACAGAAGAGAGCCTATCCTAAGACATGTCTCCATCCAAACTGCAGTGAAGTCAATGGGCATGACAAGGACACACCGCTCCTGACCCGTTCCCGAAGCGTGGCAACGATTTCAGATGGCCTAGTGATGTTCTAGGCACAGTGACTGGCTGTTACTATCAAAGTGACCTATGTTATTCAATAGGGCCGAGAATCTTCCTACTCCAAGGACATTCACTTCTTTATAAGAAAACAGTCAGAATTCTCAAGGGGTCAACGAAGCCCCTTTTTTCAAGGTGGGAAAACTAACGAGCAAGTGAACCATTTCTAGGCAGAGAAAGAATGACAAAGTGGCTGCAAGTGTGCAGCTTTGCCTGGCAGAAGCTCTGGAACAAAACCACCTCTCTACTCCTGAATCCAGCTCAGTCGTGTCCTTGGCCTACCAAAGCGACACCTCCCTCCCCGTAAGGACAACCAGGACTTAGAATTCCGGCTCCACCCTCTCGGCGGCTTTCTGCAGAAATCTGTTCGAAGCCTGAACTGAGAGACCATCGGGTCTTTCTCTCATGTTCCATGTCCAGAGCAACTGTGACATCTTGGTCGTGCCACCTTCCTAAAGCGCTTCGGCCAGCCCGTCCTCTCCACGTCTCCTCCCAGAGCCTCAGTGCGGCGCCTCGTCCCTGGCACAGGCCCGGCCCTCCGCACCTGTCTGCACTGGCCTCCTGGCCTTGCCCGCAGACCTCCCAGTCTGTCCACCGCACAGCTGTGAGCTTCCTGAAATACAACCCCTCGGCACTCATAACCTTTCGAAAGCACACTGGGTCTTCAAGATAAAGACCCGACTCCTCCCCCTGGGCCCTGCCATCTCTCCAGGCTTTACCGTCCACTGTTAGCTCCCGGAACGCAACTCTATGGCCCTCTTGATGGTGTGTGGTCCCCTGGTCACACATCAAGTCAAAGTCGTCTCGCAGGAGCCGTTTCTGTGCCTGGACAGCTGACGCCATTCTATTTTCATCAAATTTCAACCCGGCTCACGCCGTGTACGAAGCCTCCCCCGACGCGCTCCCCCGCTGGGGGCCGTCCTGCTCCTGCAGACTCAGTGTGCGCGCTGCCTGTGCCTGTTACACAGCGCCGTGTTGCGGTGACCCTGCCCTGCCTGAGCCTGGGAAGCCAGCCCTGTGCCATGGGGTCCCCAGTGCCAGCAGAAAGGCTCAGGTGACGTGGGTGCTCAGGCAGTGCTCTCCTAACCGAGGACGGAAGTGCACGACGTGCCTCACTGGAACTGTGACAGCCCTGACACGAGGTGGGAGGGCCTTTGGAATAAGCTGCTCGTCCCTGCATTTTCGAGAATCCTGTCCTCCAAATTGGAAGAGTGGCTCTACCACAGTCATGGAAGAACTGGAAACAAGTGCCTCGTGAAGACACAAGAACACTCAGCTTCCTGGGTTTGCCCCTCGGCACCTACTCTCCCTTTGTGGCCACGCCACCTGAATCCTGCTCTGGGGGGAGCAGGCTCCTGGGCCCTAGGAGTCCTGACGCCACCCCAGACTTTCCCAACACCCTGGCCAGCGACAGGGTCAGAGCCAGACCTGCAGGGATGTGAGAGATGCCCCCAGGGCTTCTGTGTGAGCAGAGAGGTAAAGTGGCAACTCTGATGCCACCGGGCCTAAGCAGGGACCTGCGACACCTGGCTCTCGCGGTTGTTCCTGGCTGTGGGAATGCACAGGTGCCCTGCTTAATTTCAGTTTGCTGGATTGGGCTTCTGTCACCTGTCACACAGCAAGTCCTAATTGATTCAACTATTTGAAGAAATGCTTGGTTGTTCCCAATACATACATCTAGACGTATGTATACATATAATTTTATTTTTAAGAAGGTACAGATAAATACAACTCTTATGTTCTATTACCTATTCAGGGCAGAGCAAGAGTCGACACACTTTATCCCCCTGCCAGCTGTTGGCATTCTCTTGTCCAAAATAGGGGCTGGGATCGATGGATGCATTAAGAAAAGCAGGGGAAGAAGGGGCTGTTTGGCTTCTTCCCTGAAGAATAAAAATGGTCTCAAAGACTCTGGAAAAGTAAAGGGCTTTTAGTCAGCGTACCGAGTAAGAAGATGCTTGCTCTGTGTCCACGAGGCACACCGCTCATGGCTGGACAGTGTGGGCAACAAGCTGTACAAGGTGTATAAAGATGGGGACTTTGGACAGAAACTCTGCAGCAAAACACAACTGCCTTAAAGTTGGAAACCTTCCTAAAAAGGAGTGTAAATTGATATTTTAGTTAAAAATTATTAAATTTTTTGACATTCTAATCTTACAGGTGACTGAATTATTTCTGTAGGAATATAATCCACATTGCACCGTGAGTTCCACAAAGCAGGGAACAAAACAGATGTGTTTTTTTTTTACTTCTACGGTAGGTCTAGCATCTTGATTTAGGAAACAATAAACTCAGTAAATGTTTACTGAATTTCAAGTTTGTACAATCAAACTCACAACAATTCTATTTACAACGGAAAACCCCAACGGGCTGCGCATTCTAAAAATGCATCAAGTTGGCTGTTGTGAAAGCTGGACACCACCACCCTCCCGCCCGAAAGTGTTACAAATGATGGTTCTGGTCCATAACTAGCCCCTGACAATGTACAGAAACGAGAGTAGCTGCATTACATTTTCAGTAGTTCTGGGTCCAGGAAGAACCATTTTTTTAAACCTTAACTTAATAAAAATAGCGATGTGTTCCTTAAAATCCAAGTTGCATGAAGTTCCTATCATTCTTCCTGGCTGCTTTATATTTATGTCTAATTATCCTTAAAAAAAAAAAACATTTTTAAAAACTCTAAACTACTCATGGTTACTGATGGACAGGTATTCTCAATTTGTTTGATATGCCACCTATCCCATATCAGAACTTTCTGATATGAAATATTTGGATGCTGATTCAAAGTGTATCAGTGATTGGGCAAAAACAGACTTAAAAAGATAATCTGAAAGATACATGTGGTAACTGTGATCAACGTTCTCTGCTCAGTCCTTGTGCCCTGATGCAAGACAAGTGGATAAATGGGTAAAATGGATAAACAGGTAATACAGCCACTTGACAATTAAAAAGATTTACCTGTGATATCAAAGATCTAAAATTTCTTTGAAAAGGTTATGTTGTGCTTTATTATAATGAATGACATCACACTACTTCTTTGGGGGGGATGTCCTCAAATGAATACATTTTCAACAGTCTCTTATAGATATTTAAAAGCACACGAAAAAGCAGGACAGAGTGTCCATGTTATGTGGGTTCATTAGCAACATTAAGTTGACAGATGAAGTATACAGTCAGTGTAAACTAAGAAAATTGTTCACATTTACATCTGAACAGTTTATCTCAATAACAAAAGACAGTATCTGCTGAGCGCTGTGTCTGTGTTAAGTGGTTTAAGGACTATGAATACACCTGACTTTTACAAGATCATACAACTGAAGACGTAATTAATGCTTTCTCACGCCTAGTTTATACCGTTAGTCAGTGCTGGTACCGGGCCTTTTTCAGAGACCAATATCTGAAGAAGGCAGAATAATCGCATCAGGGAGATCACTGCAGAAAGCAGGCTGGACTCCAGCACGCCTGGTTTCAAACGAGTCTTACTTAGAAAACTACTCATGCCAAAGCAACAACTTGCTGTACCTCGCTGCACTACCCCCACCCCCCCCACACCAGTGACTAGCTTTAAAGCTGATAAAACAGAAAGATGGTACTAGTAAGACTCAATAAATAATATTAATTTTAAAACGAAAAACTATTTATTAAAAATCAATTATACTGCCTGTGGCAAGAAAAATACATTTGGTGAGGCTTGAAAACATCGTCCCATGTTCAGAGTCGAATGTTGAAGACAACTGATGAGCTTGTTTAAGACATGTGTATAGACTTTGGTTTAAAGTTTCATACAGTTTTTATTAGCCACGACCATTCTTGTGTTGAAATTTTGGAAAAACACGTTTATAAGGAAAAAGTCCAACATATTCAAGGCTAAAAATGGAAATGAATGCCCTTCTTTCAGAAGTGAGCCTAGATCCAGGCATCCTGTAGCTCGCTAGTAGTTCAGTCAAGGAATAAGCTGTGTACATGGGAGAGGAAAAAGCAACAGCCTGCCTAAGAAGTCATCTGTGCATAAGGAGGGCTCGGTGCATCTAATTTACGACTCAAGCATCTATTTTAAGGGTGAGAAAGTTGTCACATTCAGGCGCCTTAACGGAAAGTAAAAAACATGACCACAGAGTCTGGCACTCAAACCTCCGATAATTTTCCACATTATTGGAAATACATTTTCAATTAATTTGTAAGGTAGAAAATGGAAATCCAGATAGTATTAAAATTATGGGCCCTGTCTTGTGTGGTCTGGCACTGAGGCGCTGTTTGGTTAAAGACAAAGACAACGTTCCCGAAAGTAAAGTGTTTAAACGACTGATGCCAACAGAAGCAATGAGGCCCAGGTCAGGACAAAGAGGAGTCGGCCCCAATGAGGACGGCATCTGCGGACAGAACACAGATAGGTGAGGACTCCAAAGGAATTTGAGAATTCTTAAAATGATTTCTGATGAGTGACTGAGTAATCGCAGGAAAGCGGACTCAGAAGGGCATGTGCGCACACACACACAGGCACAGTGGGGCAGATCTTGGTCCTAACCGCCTCTTAAAAAAGTCTGACCGTACCTCAGAGCTGTACCTTCTAAAGTTCAAAAGGAATCTGGTAGAACAGTTCAACAATTTATAAGAATTTGTAAAAAGAGAAAGAGTCATGAAACAACATTTTCCTTGTTTTGTAGACTAAAATCCGTAACATATTAGAAACGCCTGTCTAATTAAATCTACTGCTATCTTTTATTAAATCACTTTGAACTGGAACAAACTTGATAGATTTGAGAATGTAACTCTAATAAAATAAATTTTACCAGAGGACAGTTTAGTTTTAAATGAATATATGAATCATTACTTGTAAGCTATCTGGCCCAGTTGCTATACAAATCATTAATAGCTTTTAATCATAATGAAAAAGACAACGTTAAAACAAGCACATACGTAGGAATCAGAAAAGAGGACATTGGAATGTAAATATTTCTAAAACTTCACTGAATAATCAACATAATCTCACATAATAAGCTTTTACTTTCATATCAATTCAAGCTAGAGTGGTCTGCAGAAGAGGAAATGTTAAATACTTGACTCTGGTCTTAAGGGTGAAGGAGGAAAGAAGGACCCTTGCTCAGGCTGCCACAGAAGCTAGTGATCGAAACATTCATTTGATTAATGAGATCCACAGAAAACAGAAACCTTGCAATGTAATTTCAGAAAGTAAATGTCAGAAAAAAAGAGAGAACCAATTTTGATGTGAGACATGGGAATGAGACATGACCCAACAACGTTCAAGTTAAGAAGTCACAGAACAGTGACAGACGATGCAAACTGATCTTCTGGATTTCTACTCTAGAACCTTGTCTGCTCGCTGTGACCTTCTGTCACCACTTCGGATTTAGTTTACACACAACTCTTGCAAAGGGAAAGCAGGAAACCCCATGCCAGCCTGGGAAATGCGTTCTATATGGAATACACACCTAAGTGCTCCAGTAATCCAACCACTTCTCTTTTCTCTCCCGACAAACTAGCTACCCAGGGGCTCTGGTCCCATTAATCCCACTTTATCCTACTTTTCTGACTCTACTTGTTTCTTATTTTGTAACCCCAAGAAAGCTGTTTGCACGACACGACTCTCTCCTTAGTCACGTGACCTTGTTCGTATTTTAAATCACACTCAGCCTATGTATGCTTGTCTCTCCACCAGATTAAGACTGCTGCAGGCTCTGGGATCCCGAGTGCATCTCCCCCAAGGGGGAGATGACATGACTGCTTGTCCGCCGGTCCTCTGGGCAGACCGCTGACGAGTGCTGCAGAAGGCTTGCCACCCCACTCTGCGACCTGCATCCTCCAGAAGCCGGGCTCTCTGCTGCAGGTCCCTGGCCTCCCTCCTTCCACCTCTGTCCAAGTTACTGATGTGCACAACACGCCCGACTTCCCCGACCACTAGTCTATGACCAGACTGTCAGCTGACATTGGTCTCCTTGGGGAAAGCCCTCATTTAACTTCGCCCCTTCCACCATCACGTGTGGCCAGCCAGCAGGATCGGCTCTGCACTATGAGAGGAATTCGAAATTTGAGGGTCTCGCTAAAAATTCACACTTAGATTTAACTTACCATTACAGAATATTTACCAGTATTATTTGAAATTTGATTATAAAAACCAAGACGTAAATAACGTGCTTCCATTTCTCTGGAGAAAAACAAACTTTCTTGTAAACAGGTAGAATTTCCTACCTGTTTTCTCTGCCGTTCGGAATTACTGAGTGTCTATCAGCCGTAGCTCTTTCACTGCAAACGTAAGTATTTCGCCGCGTCATTCCACCAGATGCTGTATTACTCTGTTGAAAAAAAAGGGCATTTTGGTCTCGAGCAATTTAGTAAGTAGAGTACAATGAGAAAAAAACTCACCTAAATAAACATAAAAACTCGGTCTTTAAATAAACCCACCCTAAAATATCAACGGTGCTCGCCAACAGGTCAGAAAAGGAGGTGGAGGCAGCCAGGCTACCCTCTCCTGGCACTCAGAATAAAGAATGGCTATGGCTGTAATAATCATGAAGCAATAACTCATGAATTATTTAAAGTACAGAGATCCAGTATTTTAAAAGTTAATACCTTCAAAATAAAAAGTAAAAAGTATTATAAATATAAGGAAAAAATATGTATTAAAAAAAGATGTAAACAAATAACTATTAGGAAAAAACGGGTAAATATGCATGGCCCTAAATTTGACAAGAGATTTATAGATGTGACTCACCATAAAAGTACACAGAACAAAAAAAAATTTGATAAATTGAACTTTGTTAAAATTAAAAACTTTTCTGTATCAAAGGACATTCTCAAGAATGTGAAGAGAACCTACAGAATAGAAGAAAACATTTTCAAATCATATATTTGGTAAGAGCTTACTATCCAGACTACATAAAGAACTCTTACAATTCAACCACAAAATGACAAACCACCCAATTTAAAAACGGGCAAAGAACTTGAGTAGGTATGTCTCCAAAGAAGGCACACAATCGGCCACAAGCACGCGACAAGATGCTGAACAGCACTAGTCTCTAAGAAAATGCAAATCAAAACCACAACGAGGTACCACTCCACACCCATCAGCACAGCCAAATTAAAAAATGCAAAACAAACGCTGGCAAGGATGTGGAGAAACGGACTCTCGTATATGGCAGGAATACAGAACGGTGCGGCCGCTGTGGAAAACTGGCAGCGCCGCAAAAGGTTAAATATAGATTACCATATGACTCAGCGATTCCATTCTGAGGGAAATGAAAACTAAGTCCACACAGAAGCTGGTACACAAATGTCACAGCGACACAACCCATAATACCTAAAACAATCTAAACGTCCATCAGTGGAGAAGGAGAAGACCTGCGGCAAATAACAAGGAATGAAGTGCTGACGCACGCTGCTGCTCGATGAACTCTGAAAACGTGATGCCGAGTGAAAGCAGCCAGTCAAAAAAGGCTGTGTATTGTCTGACAGAGGAATATCCAGAACGGGCAAACCCACCCGGAGAGAGAGCCAATCGGTGGGTGCCAGGGGCTGCGGGGGGACTGGAGAGTGACGACTTAACGGGTCACTCTCAAGCGTGGAACCAGAGAGCTGATGGTCGACGCCACTGAACAGTACGCGTCAAAATGGTTAATGATATGTCGTGAATTTCACATGAATTTTTCAAAAGCTAAGTCACAACTAAGGAATTTTATCGGGTAAGAACAATGTCAAAGCAAAGAGAAAAGCAGCCGTCTCTGCTGCGGCGCGAGCAGGCGCGCGGAGGGCCACACCGAGGCTGACGGGAGGAGGCTGACAGCAACTCCTCTCCTTTCTGAACCAAGGCTGGGCGACTGACCCCGCTCCAGACACGTTTCCGTAAGGGCGGTGCGCAGATGAGCACAGCTATGAAGGCAGAGAACAGGTCCTTACCTTCCTGGGGAACTGTCAACAAAAGCTGGAGGCTGAGTTTAAACTGCAGGGCTCTAAATGATCTAATTTTACAGCGTTGGGAGCCAAAACAAAAACCTCTTCATGCAGGTTTACTCTGATAAAGCCCGAGGTCAGAGGATGGCGCAGACAACGCGGCCCTGGCACGGACGACCCCCAACGGGCAGCGGGGCCTCCGCTGGGCTCCTCACGTGAGGGTTTCTTTGGGGTGGAGGGAGGGCTGTGTCATTGTTACCTCTGTAGGGAACAAGCTGGTTAAAGAATTGTTCATACTATGCAGAGTCTCACTTTAGAAGTGCTAGGAATACTAATCACTGTGTCAAGTCAGAGAGAACACGTTTCAATTAACGGAAAAATTTCTAAAGCTCAATAGAATCTAATTAAACAAACACCGCTTACTGGGGGGATTTTAAGGGTAGGGATTAAAAAGTGGATTCAGGTCAGCAGTGTAATATTAGACAATTACTAACTTCTCTTCATTTTAAAATTTAGCTAATACATGGAAAAGCACTCGGCATGGTTTCTGGCACATGGTAAGGGCACAGAATTGTCAGCAGAAACCTTTGAAAATGTGGGGTGACAACACATCCCTGGCTCATGGGCAGTCAGACCACTCAGTGCTCGGTGTGGTCACCTGTCTGCGCTGTCGTCATCTGGTTTCCTTTCTTTCCTGTTAGGCTATGAGCTCTTTCCATCTCTCAGCCTAACCTGACCTAGAGCACAGCAAGTGTCTGTGGAATGACTCGAAGCGGCCCGACCTGGAGGGTCTTGTGCCCACCTAGTAGGAGGGGCTCATCGAGAACCGCTTCGACCCACTTCAGTGCAGCAGCTGGTGGCTGCATGGTGGCCTAGTGGGGGGGTCATTCTGGCCGCCAAGAACACAGGAGCAAAAGAAATATCGAGAGCACCGCAACCCCACAACCCCAGGGATGCGCCGGAGTTCAAGGTCACTTACGCTCGGGACAGTGGAGCTTTTCTTGCGTTCGGGAATGTCCGCCTTGTTGGGGTTGCTCGCGTTCCCAAGCATAGGACTGGCTGGAGCAATGCCCTTCCCTCCAACAGCGCTGCCGCCTGACTTCCGGGCGGGAATGCCGTCTTCCTTGAGGTCACCATCTGCGGTGCTGGTCTGACTCCTTTTCGGATACGCCACAACTGAAGGAACAGCTGGCCCAGCTGAAATACAGAGTTCCCTTTTTAAAAGTCACAATACACTTCTCATTTTATTGCCAAAGTAAACGTTTTTAAGATGACCTAAGACGGCTCTTCATCTGAGAAAATGTAAGACAGCAAAATCCTCTAAGATGTTTCCCATCTGTGTATGTTTTCCCTATGCGATAAATTCGATTTTGAAATTTCACTCATTAGTCTTTAACTTTCTACTTAAGGTTTTTAAAAGTTATTATTAATGAGCTTGTACAGCTGTCCTCCAGGGGCAGTTACTATGTGGAGAACTAACCCAACCAACTTGATGTGCACACACCATGCAGAACGAACTGCTTTCCCTGGTCCATCCAAGTGAATCACAACTTTTTTTGTGCAAGAGATGCCTTCGCCTTTTGGAACAGAACGGTACAGATTTATGGGCCATGTCTTTAGCAGTTTTATCTTGGATCTTTTTTAAAGCACTCAATCTTCTAGGTAAATAGGGCTTTGAGTAGGCAGCTGGTACAAGGTGGTATAAGCAGAGGAAGCATGTTCCTCATATAAGCAACAGGGAGGTAGTGGGCAAAGGTCTCTGGTCACAGTCCACCCTAGATAAGGGACCCTGGGAGGACAATCAGCTTGGGTCCTATGACACACTACCCGCATACTGGAGACTCGGGGCTCAAAGAATGCTGGAAACAAACAAGAGAACTTGCACCTTCATTATATACAATGTCCAGTGGTGACAGACCACATGCTCACTGTTCATTCTTCGGCAGAAGAGACTATATTTTAGGTCTATTACAAAAAGGGTGGGATGGGGTGGGGTGCAGAAAAGCTACTTCTGCATAAAAGCTACTTCTGGATAAAAATCTAAATGGTAAATCTCCATGGAACTGAATTAAAAGTAAATGAGGCTTTGGTTTTATTTATGGGAGAAGAACTAAGCTCTCAGTTTGGCCATAAAATGAAGACTCAACCAAGTACAGAGCGATATCACCCTGAACACTCATCTTTCTTCTCAATAGCCTGAGGTAGCCAATGGCATCCTGAACTTTTAGTGTCACTGCTGATTTTCTTTGAAACTTTTATTTCTATTTACAAAAAAAAAGCTTTTTAAACTTTGAGATTGTGAATGGAAACGGACACGGACACAACCCCTTGACCTCATACACCACGCGGCCCACTCTCCTGTGTCGCCCGTGTCTGTGTGTTGAGCTCTGCACGCTTTGGTCACAGGTGCGCGTTCATGTGCCTGCCACCAGTGGAGACACAGCCGCTCCACCTCCAGGACCTTGTGGGCCACCTTTTCACAGCCACAGCTACCTCTCCTCCACCCCACCCCCGCCCTGAACCCTGGCAACGGCTAATCCTTTCTCCGTCTCTGCAATTCTGCTAGTTCAAGAATGTCATATGAATGGAATCAACTCTGTCACCACCTTCTGAGACGTTTTTTCCACTCAGCATAATTCCTCTGAGATTTATCTATGTTGTGCTGTGTATCGATAGTCGGTTCCTTTTCATTGCGGAGCAGTGTTCCGTAGTGTGGCTGTACCACAGAAATATGATTTTTATGTCATCGATTTTGTCAAATCTTTTCTTTCTTGCCTTGGCTTGCAGTGTTTGGGCCATTGTTAGAAAAGCCTTTTCTAGTCCAAGTTATAAATTACCTCATGTTTTCTTTTACTATTTCTGTGGCTTTATTTTTTATATTTACAGCTTCCTTCCAACTGGAATCTGCCTTTGTATGAGATGTAAAAACTGGATGCAAATTAATTTTTTTCTCATAACTACCAAACTGTCTTAGTCACATTTTTAATAAATGAGCGATTTTTTTTTTTTTAAAGAAAACAAAACAAAGAACCCCTTGAAAATCTGATAAAGATCACTCGAGTATACACACACGGGTCCCAAATTAAGAAGCGCATATGAAGTGTGATCGTGCAGAGGCAGGTACATAGTACATATAAACCATTAGCGTGTGGAGAAAGGGAGTTAGGGGAGAGGGGGAGCTGGGAGGACAAGCTAAGCTGCTCAGGCGGTCGGCTCGTCTCGTCAGGTGGATGTGCTTCACTAGCCGCCGTTTTTGGAACCTGTCCCATTTTCAGCACTTAAATGAACAGTGCCAGAGGCACAATCAAACCTTTCCTCTGCTGACCACTGTATCTTCTTCTCCACAAAGAATAAAAAAAAAAAAGTGGAAGTGGGTCAGTAACTTCCAATATACGTGGATTTCTGGAAATATTCTTTTATGAACTTCTTGTGAATATTAGAGGCTCCAAAAAGGAAGGATTATTACAAAAAGACTACTGATTATAAAAAGAGATCTGTTTCCTGAACCCTAGAATACTGGAAGGCCGGTTAGTGGACAGAGCCACGGGACCAGGGACCAGGGACCAGGAACTGGGAGACCTGAGTTCTGTGCCAGGTGTTCCCACATCTCTGTAACCTCAGGAGACTCTGAGCTCTCTTGGCCTATTTCCTCATTGACAAAATGGGTTTTTGGTGAGTGAATGACAGCATGTCTAAAACTCTTTTAACTCTAAAATTTTCTGAGCTGTAGGAAAAAAAGGCATTACCGATCCAGATGGAATCTATGGGGTTAAGGCAAAATTAATCCATTAAGAGAGTCGTTATAGATGTGAGAAAACGCCAATACCAGCTTTCTTCCAGGATTTAGGAATCTCTCCCTTTAAACTGATGGTTTAGACCAAGGTGTGGGCATTCTGCCAATTCCCTTGCAGTCCACAAGCACTGAAAACCCTCCTGTTACCAACTAACGCGAACACAAAAGAGGACAGAGACCCAGGTCAACACCTGGTCTACAGAGGCAAGAGCACAAATCCCGGTGCCAGGATGGTCTTGGGCTCAGTCACACCTCGAAGAGCAGACATGCAGACGGTTTACGGGCAGCACCAGCACAATGTGCTGCTTTAGCAGAAAGAGAAATGGAAACTGAGCAGAGCGTCATCACTGCCGGCACACATCAAAGCCGGGCGTGCGAGAATGCCCGTGCAGGCTGGTGCTGGCTCTCCGGACCAGGGAGCAGAGACGGCCGCGTCCTGAGGGGCGATGAGCTGGGCAGGTGGTAAATGGAGGCCTCATGTGAGGGTGTTTTCAAAAGTGAGGACCAGCCCACAGAGATCTGTTTCCTAAATCCTAGAACACTGGAATCAGACGGAAAACCTGCAGCGCGGACACTCACAGTTACAGGTGAATAAACACACACGCCAGTCTCTGGATTCCAACGCTCGGACTGCCTCGAAGGCAGAAACACTGTCAGGTTTGGTAAGCGTACCCTTCTGGGTCCTAGGTCTCATAAACATTCACTTCTATGGTGAAAATTTTAAGAGCGACGGTGTTTAGACACACACACCTACCAGAGTGGGGTTGAGTATGACGCAGCTCAAACCAGCATTCAAACCAATTAAGGAAAAACTGGGCACTGTGTATTCTTCAGGGCCGCACTGTCCAGCATGGTAGCCAATGGCCACACGCAGCTATGTAAATTTAACGTAACAATACTGCAAATGGCTTCCTCGGCTCAAGTGCTCAGCAGCCACACGTGGCTAGTGGCTGCCCTGCTGAAGAGCAGAGACACAGAACATCTTCAGCACTGCAGGGAGTTCTACTGGACACCGCTGCTCTAGAAAGTCAGCCCAAAGCAGAGATGAGAAGGGAATGAACAGAACGAGAGAGTGAAGAGGGGGTCCCAGGGGGCTGAGTGTAAGCTTTCACCCAGCTAGGCCTCACCTAGCAAGAGCCGTACTAAGGAGAGCCGGCCCTCAGAGAATCAGGCCAGCACCGGCCGGACGGCTGAAATGCCAAGAAGGGAAAGCAAGCCCGCCGCAGCCCGACGGGCCCCAAGCAGCGCCAGGGGACTCTCGTGCGGGGATGACGCCAAGAGAACAGACTGGACTGGCCTCAGACTTACCATGGTCGCTGTACCGCCTCTGCTTCTGGCTTGAAGAAACACTTCTCTGCACTTTGTGGTGAGGAGACTGGCCGGTACTGTTGTTGAGGTCACTGCTTGGCCTAACCTTAGCAAGTGAAAGATTGCTGCTAGAACTGGAGTCGCTAGCGTCCAGCTAAGAGAAAATGAGAAAAACAGAGCAAACCACAACACGAACCCAAATGGTTTATTAGGAAACTAAACTCTCACAACACGCGAACCTCTCATAACAGCCTATTTAGGGACAAGAAGAATCACAGTGTACAAAAATGATATACTCCCCCCCTCAAAAAAAAAAACCCCCACACAAAAATGATAACCCTTATTTCAGGCAAAGTGCTTTTTCCTGACTGCGTGAAAAACTCAAGAAAGGATACGTATTTATGACTTTCTTTCTAGCCTTTGTCAAATAATTTAAAATGTTCTATTTATTTCATCTGACACTTTATATCATTGCTAAACTATTAGTAGCTGTTAAGTTACCTTATGAAAGCCAAGTGTGTGACAATATCCACCATTAAGGTGATTATCTTGAAGTTAAAATAGTAGCTCGTAATGGTCCTAAGAGTTAAACTTGTCATTTGTGGGTAAACTAAAAAATGATATACCAAAAGCTACGTGTACTAAAAAAATAAAAAATAAGAGTTTAAATAAACTGATAATTTACATACAAGATATTTTTAGTTGTTTTCTCTGATTATTCTTACCTCTGAAGATTTTCTCCCCAACAACAAATATGTAGCGGTGATTTCATCGTATTTCATTTTACTAAGAGATTCCTGAATTTCTTCTTGCGAATATCCCATTCCCACCATAATATCTAAAAGAAAAAAATAATATAGTTTACGTGGTTTGTTTGGGTAAGAAATCACTGTTATAGGGTAAAATGATTTCCTTTATTTGACCCAAAAGATCACACATTTTCTAACATACATGGGCAGCTGGCTTATTTCCGAGTTATTCGGTGCTATTGTAGGAAATTGCAGATAAGTTCCTAAACACGACAAAACAGAGGCTGATTCATTTAACTTACGCTTAACTTCCCATCATTTCCATTTTAGGCGTGCTACCTGAACACACACCCGCACGCAGGCACAGAGCAAGTACCTATTCTTTTCTGGTCGGAGATGTCCAGCTCTGGTTCAACGAATGGTTTCAGTTCATCTTCCTCATGCCCGGCGTTGATCCACCTGTCTTTCATG